TTTCTCAAAGAAGAAGTCAATTATCAAAGAATTGATCAACAATTAACTGATCCAGTTATTATATCTCAAATTGAAGAATTTAAATTAAAATTAGAAACAACTGTTTGTTCTACTTTACCAACTGCTTTCTGGCATAGGAAAAAACATGTAGTCACATTACCTTATATTAAAAAATTTAATGAAAGGCAAATTTCTACTAAATCTAGACCTATTCAAATGAATCATGAATTACTTGAAATGTGTAAAAAAGAAATCAATGAATTATTAAAAAATAGAATAATTAGTCCAAGTAAATCACCATATTCTTATCCTGCTTTTTATGTTAACAAAAATGTTGAATTAGAACGAGGTGTCCCTCGCTTAGTCATCAATTATAAACCATTAATAAAGTTTTAGAATGGATTAGATATCATATCCCTAATAAAAAAGATTTGATTAAACGACTTAGTCAAGTTGTTATTTTTAGTAAATTTGATTTAAAAAGTGGTTTTTGGCAAATACAAATTCATCCTAAAGATAGATATAAAACTGCTTTTACTACACCTTTTGGTCACTATGAATAGAATATAATGCCATTTGGATTAAAAAATACTCCTAGTGAATTTCAAAATATAATGAATGATATATTCAACCATTTTAGTCATTTTTCTATTGTTTATGTGGATGATATACTAATCTTTTCTCAATCACTTAGTGAACATTGGAAACATCTAACTGCTTTCTTTTATACTATTAAAAGTCATGGTCTAGTTATTTCTGCTCCTAAGATTAAATTGTTTCAAACTACAGTCCGCTTTTTAGGATTCAATATTCACCAAAATACTATTTTACCTATTAGTCACTCCATTGAGTTTGCGTCTAAGTTTCCTGATGAAATATTGGATAAAACCCAGTTACAACGCTTTTTAGGTTCACTTAATTACATTGCTGAGTTTTACAAAGACCTTAGGAAAACTTGTCAACCCTTGTTTGATAGGTTAAAGGATAATTCTCCTCCTCAGTCTTCTACTCATACTGCTATTGTTCAACAAGTCAAGCAATATGTCAAGTCACTTCCTTATCTTGGTATTCTTACTGAGAATTCATTCAAAATTATTCAAACTGATGCTTCTGATATTGGTTATGGTGGCATTTTTCTTCAGAAGGTCACTCCTCAGTCATCTGAACAAATTGTTCGTTATCATTCTGGTGTTTGGAATAAAGCACAATTAAATTATAGTACTATTAAAAAAGAAATTTTATCTACTGTTTTATGTATTACTAAATTTCAAGATGACATTTTAAATCAAAAGTTTTTACTTCGTGTTGATTGCAAATCTGCTAAGTATGTTTTAGAAAAAGATGTTCAAAATCTTGCTAGTAAGCAAATTTTTGCTCGTTGGCAATCTATATTAAGTATTTTTGATTTTGATATTACCTATATACCTAGTTGTCAAAATTCTATTCTTGATTTTCTTACCCGCGAATTTTTACAAGGGGATAGGGATGACCACTCCATTTATTGCTTACCATAAAACCCAAATAACCCATTACCGTGGTCTTATTCACCAACTTGCTTACCGTATTGCTCGACTAAAATCAGCCCGCAAAACTACTAGACGTACTCAGTACATTAACTATCACCAGATTCAAGCTCGTCGCCATTTACTTGCTGATTATTACAACTGTTTGGATTACCATCAAAATTATTTAGATCTCCTTAGTTGTTGCTAATCTTTGTTGCTAATTTTTGTTTCTATTAAACAGATGTTTCGCCCCAGGCCTCCTTCCAAAGCCTTGGTCCCATCTAGTCAACCTATTGTTCCTCCTCCTTTGGAGCTAGTAACCCAATACCATCCTATTGAAATGATTAACTGTTACCAAGTTCTTGGTAACATTCCTAAACCTAGTTACACTTCTGCTTTGGCTACTGATCCTTTTGCTTCATCCAGCCAAGCAGTTACTCCATACCCTCCTAATCCTATTAAAACAGCCCGACCTGATTATGTTAATCCACCACTACTAATCTCTTTTTCAAAAAGCCTAGTCACCCAAAGAGTCAGTCTATTAATGACCTGGTTAAATCCTATTTTCCTCCTGGATAGCATTTTGTTCCTCTGCATCCAGAAAAATCAATCATATTCTATGAAGATATCCTGTTTAACCATCAGTCCATTGTGATTAAACCTATTTATGATCGGATTTACACTAGTAAAATTGTTTACCATTCACTTTATATTCACAACATTGGTTCCTTAGTTGAATGAGGTTCTCCTTATCAACTTCGAGAATTACCTAATCACTCTCTCCAGTATAGTTATTATGACTATATTGATGCCTGGTTCAAAGTATTTTTATATCAAACTGAAACCTTTAGTCACTCCTGGTTCATCCAATTTGATCAAAATTTTAAATCAGAATTACCTTCTTCGTTTCTGCAATGGTGGACTCATTATGGCGCCATTACAGATATCTTCCTAGATATTCTGATTGAACAGATTAACTATTTCTCAACTGTTTTCTCATTCACTCCCCAACAAAGGAAATTCCCTAAATTGCTTATTTTTATATCCAAATGCAAAATTCCTTAGATATTTAAATGGCATTATGGTATTTCTGATAATGTGGTTTACCGACAACATATGGTTAAATGGGGAGATAACTTCAAGATTCCACACATTATTGAAATTGTTCAAGCTGAATTCCCAATTAACATTCATGCTCCTACACCTGCCATGGTTAAAGCTCAGCAGATCCCAACTGCTGCAGTCACTCAAGGAAGCCCTCTTCCTCCAGTCAACCTTGGAAGCCCATCTTCAAGCTCTTCCAAGCCCAAGTCAAATATTAAATCAAAGGATAAAGTCAAGCCCAAACTTGCTAAAGCAAAGTCTAAAGCTAAGTCTCCAGCTCCTGCTTCACAGGCTCAGCCCAAGATTAAATCCAAGTCATCTAAGGATGAGCTGCTCAAAATGGCTCATCTACTAGTTAATCAGGCCCAAACCCAGTCAGATTCGGATAACAGCAGTTCAGAAGAAGGTTCAGACAGTTCACATTCTTCTGAAGGTTCAACTAGTCAACAAAATCCATATGGACCCGAGTTTCAAGATGCTCAGGACCCATATGTCTAGTCAGCTCTGCATTGGATTCCATATAGATACAAATTAGCTTCAATCAATACTCTTTTGAGAAAAGCTGCCAATTTGTATTTATATTGATTCCCTTAGTCACATGTCTCCACCGAAAGTAATGAATAGTAAAAAGTTACTGTTCACTTTCACTATTCATCCATGATTAAACATCAAAAGCTACATCAACTTTAGTCAATCTGCCGAAAGCTTCCGACAGCCTGCTTTTGCCCATGTGCTGTTAGCTGCTCTCATGATCAACTCCAAGTCACATGCTGCATAGTTAGATTAATTTTCTATAAATTGTAATGCCTTAGTCATTTGTACTCAGAGGTTAAGAAAAAAAGAGAAAAATGGGCCACTCTAAGTGAGAACCCACACCTTTCTCTACTGTATAACCCTTGTTTAAACTATTTTCAGTCAATGTATTTTGAAGCAACTCTCTGCAGTTCTTCCGATTAAACAATTGTAAGTTATATTAAAATTTTAATTTTGGTTATTTTGTGTGCATATTTTATCATCTCTTCAACTCTCTGATTATTTAACTTGCTTCAGTCCCCTTTTGGGCTTCCAAGGTTGACTGGAGGAAAAGGGCTTCCTTGAGTGACTGAAGCAGTTGGGATCTACTGAGCTTTAACCATGGTAGGTGTAGGAGCATGAATGTTAATCGGGAATTCAGCTTGAACAATTTCAATAATGAGTGGAATCTTGAAGTTATCCCACCATTTAACCATATGTTGTCGGTAGACCACATCATCAGAATATTTATATTTTATTTTATTTCACACATATCTTTTATGTTCATTTTTCATTTTAAATCTCTCTCTAAAGGGATTTTTGGTGAAAACCCCCCCTCTTTGGGCATGTTTTGTGTCCAACCCACGGAATAAAACAATGACCCCAAAAGCCCCTCAATTAAAAAAAATATTATGAATTGACTGAAATGTCCTTCCATATAAGTGAGAAAATATGAAACAATTCCATAAAAGTAAAATTTTACTCTGAATAAGAGTAAAATGTTACACTCTGAATCTAAAAGTAAAATTTTATTCTGTATAAAAGTAAAATTTTACTTTGAATAAGAGTATAATGTTACACTCTGAATCTAAAAGTAAAATTTTACTTTGTATAAAAGTAAAATTTTACTCTGAAAACGAGTAAAATGTTAGACTCTAAATCTAAAAGTACCAGAGTAAAATTTAAATGTCATTCTAATACCAGAGTAAAATTTTACTCTCATTGTAAACAGAGCACGTATCAGGGTAAAATTTTACTCTAATTCTCTTAAACAAAAAACAGAGCAATAGAAGTAGAGTAAAATTTTACTCTCATTCTCTGAAACAAAAAACAGAGCAATAGAACCAAAGTAAAATTTTACTATCATTCTCCGAAACAAAAAACAGAGCAATAGAACCAAAGTAAAATTTTACTCTGGTTCTGTCAAACGAAATCAGATCAAACACAACAAAAATAAATCCAAAACAAACAAAACAAACAAAACAAAACAAAACAAATTAATTAACAAATCAACATACCTAATTGAGAAGAAAAACCTCTAAAACTCGATCAACAGTCACAAATCTCAATGAAACTCTCGTTTAATTGAGAGCGTTGATCGTCAGCGACGAGATCGTCTATTGTTGACCAAGTGAGAGATCTTCGGCTGCGAGATCTTCAGATTTGGAGATCGTCTTCATCGATTTTGTTCCTGATTTCATTCCTGCGAGATCTTCAACTCAGATTTCAAATATTTCAAATGTCTAATACGTATACATAGAAGGGCAATATTGTGATAAAAAAAATATAAATTATAAAATGTTCTTATTATGGTAGACATTTCCTATTCAGAAACTTTTTAAAAGAAAATTGATTAAATTATCCTTTATCCTAATAAAAAGGTCCAAAAGGTTTCACCAAAAATCCCCTCCCTAGACCCATAAAGCAAACACATGCAAAGAGAGTTGAATTACGAGGCAATTATTATTGGCAAAGGCGACATTCTATCAGACATCTAAACACTCTCATCTCATCTGCGTTGATTTCTGCGTTTCTTCCTTCATAGAAGTACAAGATGCTCACAGGTCTCTCTCTCTCTCTCTCTCCATGTATATATATATATGAAATGTATTTGTCATATCTGATTTTATGGTTGCCCTTTAAGTGTTCGATGAATTTCCCCATAGAAAATTTAGTTTTCGGTTTTCATCAAATGTTAAAACTCTTAACCAGTTACACAATGTAGTAGTAGCTTGTGTGTAAAGCATAAATGAGGGAGTTATTCATAAATTGTCTCGTGGTAAATTCTTATTTTTTTTTATTGAATCATATATGTTACCAGTATTCCCTTGGTTTTTTTAGGGCTAAATTTGGGAAGTCACCTTCAACCCAGAGTCATAAACTTGCACCAGAGACAAATCAATGGTATGCTTCACTTTTTTCCCGAATTGTCGTAATAACATGACTAGTGTCAAGTTAATTTGGCATACAATTCATTTATCAGTTGGTTGTTGGATCACTCAAGTCAAAAATTCTACTGCATTGCCGAATTTTGAAATAGAAAACGAAATTTTCTTTGCTCCAATTTACTCACACACACACACACGCACGTGCGCATATATACATATGCACAATAAAAAACCTAAATGCTCAATTTGCATGGATAGATAATGCAATTACTTCAAGAATCTGAACTGAGTTCTGAATGCATGTTTTCAAGTACTGTATTCTGATTCGTGTCACCAGTCTTGTTTTAGGTCGTGTTTGCCATTGGTTCATGGGCTCTCACTTTTTCCTTTGATATTTCTGCTTTATCCATGTAAGTCTAAATGGACCTAACGAACCATAAAATGCTTATTTCTGGCACGGAAAGTCACATGCAATTCCAATTTAGACCGATGAGTTGAAACATACTTTGACATAGTTTAGATTCAGAAACTTCATGATTTTGATATCATTTATCTTATTTTATATAGCCTTAAGGTTATTGATTTGCAAGTGTGATTATTAGTAATCTGTGTTGCAATGCCATGTTCAGATCGACATATTTCATGGTTGCCTGTGCTCATGTGACTCTCAGCTGATGGAACTACTTTGATTGTTTGATTGACTCCATCACACTTCAAAATTTTATAAATCATACTTTGACATAGTTTAGAAACTTCATGATTTTGATATCATTTATCTTATTTTATATAGCCTTATGGTGTGTTTGGTTGAGGGATTTGAAAAGGGATTTAGAAAGGGAAAGGGAAAGGGAAAAGTTGTGTGAAACTAGGTGAAATGTAGGTATATTTTATTCACATTTCACCTAACTTTTCCCTTTCTCTTTCCAAATCCCTCCTCAAATCCCTCAACCAAACACAGCGTTAAGGTTATTGATTTGCAAGTGTGATTATTAGTAATCTGTGTTGCAATGCCATGTTCAGATCGACATATTTCATGGTTGCCTGTGCTCATGTGACTCTCAGCTGATGGAACTACTTTGATTGTTTGATTGACTCCATCACACTTCAAAATTTTATAAATTGAACAAAGTTGGTACATTTTTACATGTTAATGTAGTGTGAGAGTTCGTGAGCTTTAAAGAATCATTCAAACTAGTGAGTCAACATAATGTATCTATATTTGTCACTTCTACCTGCCTTGCTGTGAACCTTGGTTGTAGAGTCACAAGTTTATTCTCCTCTATGTTAGCTCTGTGATAATTTTTTTCAATTGGTCCCACAGTCCCACTGATGGTTTAGGATTGGTATTGTTTTCAAGGCTCATTTTTTTTAATACATGTAAGTAGGTGGAGCTAGAAGGAACTTGCTTAACTACCTTCCCAGTAGGATTTAGTCCAGTATTCTTATTTTCCTACAGATATTTCACTCATTTGAAAGATGAAAGAATCACAATAGAAAGAAAAAATTACTCAAAATCATATATTGAATTTCAGCACGTCATACAATTTCTTTTCTTTTCTTTTTTTGTTGTTTATCTTTTAACTCATTCAGTGACACCGTTACCTCTTATCTTCTTCATTCTTAAAGCCCCGAAACCTCTTGAATTCAGTCCGTATTGCCCTAACATTACTCATGCATTAGTGCATAAAAGCTAACATGCGAAAAACTATTTGAAACATGTATGTATTTTTTGAAACTCAATTCTATTCCAATATTAAATGGTTCTTAATACTAGATGTTCCTTTGTTGTTTAATATACTAATGTCAATAAGTCAAGTGTCTCGTTGTTCACAGGTTTGCATGGTGCAGAATGGCATTTGTCGAGGATAAGGTTGTTACCTAAAAATTTGATTAAATGCACATTAAATCAGTCAACAGAAGATTTCTCTGCTTTCAAGGAACACGAAGAGAATCGGCCTTTGGTTAAAATGTGTGGAATCACATCAGCTAGTGATGCTGCTCTAGCAGCGAAAGCAGGTGCAAAGTTTATTGGGATGATTATATGGCCCAACTCAAAACGTTCCATTTCACTTTCTGTTGCAAAGGAAATATCACAAGTTGCAAGGGAACATGGGGCCAAGCCCGTTGGTGTATTTGTGGATGATGATGCTGACACAATATTAAGAGCTTCTGAGGCAGCCGACCTTGAATATGTACAGGTAAGTTTTTCTAATCTTAGTTCCACTGCATATGGATTAATTAGTTTCTTTCAGTTTGTAATTTGCTGAAGTTATGCAGCTTCATGGAGATGGTTCTCGGGCTGCATTTCCAGTTTTAGTGAAAGACAACCAAGTCATATATGTTCTTCATGCCAAAGAAGATGGAGAGCTTTTGAACCATATTTCAGACCAAGACTGTACTTTGGTTGATTGGATTCTTGTGGATAGTGCAAAGGGTGGCAGGTAAGAATCTTTACCCTCTTTAAATATAACTTGAATATCGTTTTGTTTGCCTTCATGTTGTACTATCTTCATGAGCTTCAAAAACTATCTTTGGAGTTGTATCGCTCATAAGCAATTATTCTAGTTCCTACTTATTGTTGTGTTAGATAATTATCCGTGAGAATCCACCACTACAAATATTTGAAAATGAGGGCTCACTTAAAGGTGATTTGTGTAGACATGTAGTATTTAAAGAAAAATCTGTTAGATGCAGGATTGAGAGCAAAAGTAGGTGAAAATTCGAAACTTGAGAATGTTGCTCTTGTGGCTTGCTTGGATGGAAGCAAATGGTATTACTCCTTATGAGTCCATATAAATCTATATAAGCCAGTATTGGAATTCAATAATCATGGGTTTCTTCTTATAAGTTCAAACAATCCTTTTTTAATTTCTAAGAACCAATGTTGGAATTGAATCATTATGGCTTTTCTACCATGAAAGAAGTGCATGCCTTAGTTTGTCTTGGTCCTATCCTATTTCGTCTTGGCCCTATCCTATTTCACTGCCCAAGAACTGTATCTTCACTGCCTAAGGACTGGTCCTCTTATCGTTCTTAATTTTGAACTTTCGATGAGATATGCATCTTATGCAGTTTATTTATTGCACAATAATGACAAACATATTGATTTGAAAAAATCAACATTTTCTTAGATTGCTGGTATTGTTGGATTCTGCGCTGGAAGTATTTGCAGTTACTAAATGCGTCAGCTGTTTCTTTATGTGTGCTTGCCCTTAATGGCTTTCTTCAGCAACAATAAAGAATCAGCTCTGAATGGCTTTCTTCAGCAATGATAAAGAATCAGCTACTGACTTCATAAATTCTAGACATTTTACAAAAAATTTAGACAGTGGGCTTTGAAGCCACTCAATAGTGAGTCCTTCAGGTTCCAAAATTGTCCAAATTGGAGAGGATGAACAATTGAAGAAAGAAATCCTCTTCTTCTTCTTCTTCTTCTTCTTCTTCTTCTTCACTTTATTTTTTTATTTCATTTTTATTGTTTGGGTTGGCTAAATTTTTGGCCTAAGGTTATGTTTTTATGGATTTACATTTCTCAAAATGTTGCGACACTTTTCCACAGCTGGTAATCATAGTTAATATCAGATATCCTCTTTCAATTAGGAAATAAGAGCCATTTTTTTAATCTTCTGTTACTTTCCTGCGCTAATACATCATTTTTACCTGTCCTGCTTCACTCATTGTAACATACGTCTGCAGTGGGAAAGGATTCAACTGGTCCCAGTTTAAACTACCACCAATTAGAAGCAAATATGGTTGGCTTTTGGCAGGAGGAGTTAACCCTGATAATGTCTGTGAAGCTCTTTCTACACTCAGACCGCATGGAATTGATGTCAGTAGCGGCATTTGTGCTTCAGATGGAATTAAAAAAGATGAGTCCCGGATATCATCCTTCATGAGAGCAGTAAATGCCATACATTATTGATTGATGTGAGAAGTCTTGATTACAAAAACTCAATGAAGCAGAACATGGGAACACTAAGGATGCTGTGTTATTATGTTTGGTAGGTCGTTCTCTTTATTAAGATGACAACATCTTGAACACAGGTTTAAATCTTGCTGTTTTTACTAACTTGTTTTTAGCAATCCACTAAATGAAAAAATAGTTACTTTTCTGGTAGACGATGAATATTTGTGGAGTTTATAGCTGCCTAATGCATGGTGTAAATGTGCATTTGCATGCGCACAAGTGGGGGAGAGAGATCCCAATGAAAACAATACTGGTCCTTTCTTTAACATGTTAATGACATACACTATTAACTTCAATTATCATATTACAAATTTAACTAACTCAATACAATCTCCAATTTAGAAGAGCTTGAATACCTATTGCAGAATGGTTGCTCCCCCAATTTTACTTCTACAAGATAATTTATTTCAACTACAGTCAAAATTGAAATCGGTTATAAAGAATTAGTAGCTTAGCAGTCTTCCTATCAGTGAACTTGAAAATCTTCTAGGGCTTCATTCTGCTTCCGGGGAGCCAGAGAGCTGAGGATCTGTTTGATAGTATACAATATCCCCAGTGTCACTCACATAGTGATCCTGTTTCATGCTTCTTACAAGGCTTCCCAATAAGTGAAGTGGAAGAGGACCAGATTTCTTAGGCTCACGATAGTACTTCCCAAGCACAGGCCTAGCAGCCTCCGTCTGTAATTTCAAAAACACGCAAACCAATCAGAACAACAATCAAAATATTTTGTTGCAGTCAGTGTTTAAGTTCAAATTATTGAGAGTACTCACTGCTTCTACTAAGTGGTAGTGTGGGATTTGAGGGAAGAGGTGATGTATCACATGAGTTCCAATATCATGCTGAATGTTGTTTATCCAACCATAGTCCCGATCAAGTGTCGTTAACCCTCCTCGCAGATAACTCCATTCCTGTTTAGAAACAAATCAGCTTTCAGAAAACACAGCAAAACGTGAACCCTAATCAAAATGTTCATATTATCCGTTTAATCAGCCGAACAGTTCTTGCAGCTCAAGAATGGATCAAGTGATTGGTGAAGATAAGAAAATAGGGCTAAAACCGAACCGAGATGTTTATGAACAATTCTAGTACGGCCTGTTTGCTAAATGAATGAGCTCATACGAATTTTTTAGGCTAGTTTACTAATCAAGCCGAGGTTGAGTAGACTGGCTCAAATAGATTCATGAACACAAAGATATATAAATTAATATTTATTTTTATAATATATCAAATATATTTTCATTAATTTATTTTATTTCTATGTTAATTCATTAATAAAACTAACCAATAATACAAACTATATTTATATTTTGCTCATAATCTTCTCTTTTTTCTCTTAATTTGCATGTTAATTTAAGTTATAATTTTCTTTTGAAGCTCAAGCTCGAGTTTCACAAAGACTGACTCAACAAGCAGAGCTTGAACTCAATTTTTTAATGTCAACTTCAGCTTGAGCATCTTGATATGTTCAGTTCTATACCTCGCCACGATACCAAGGAAGTTTCTCCTCATGGCCATGGTGATGCAAGTAAGTCACCAAGTCCAGCCACATGACAAAGATCTGCATTCAGTAACAAAGTTTGAGATTGAAAAAATCTTAACCGGCAGATAAAAGAGTAACCAGAACAAATCTGTCTACAACAATGAAGGGACAACAAGAACTGAGAAAATGAACTAACCGCGTAGGGAACGCCATAGAGTTTAAGCAATTGAATTGGACCCATGACAAAGGACAGGCCAACGAGCAGTGCAGCCATGGCAATCCAGCTCGCGGTGGAGGTGATCACATCTTTCCTCTCACTCCGCACAAACAGATCGCTGCTCGGGTTGTAATGAGAGCCAGTCTTTCCAGGGCTTCGACTCCACTGTGATTTTAGGCAAAGAACAGAGGAATAGAACTGTTAGAACTGGAAAAAAAATAATCTATGGACTAACTCAAAGTTCAGATTTTGATTCAATTTTAAAAGAGTAGTTAGCAGGAGGCTCACCAGGTAGATGGGATATGCGAGGAGAGGGAAAGGCAAAGTGAACCTCAAGATTTTGGTAGCGTTGTCCAAACTTCTGTAAATCTTTTCAGATAACTGAAAATGAAGGGGAAAACATTAAAATTGACAGTAATCAAAAAGGAGACATTCATGCATCAAAGTAACTTTTAGGACAATAAAACAGAAACAAGACACCCAAGTTTGATATATTAAAAATTCATTTGAAATTAGCTCGTTCGATGAATAAAGTATACTTGAACATATTTTAAAGTTTACTTGTTAATATTTTTTTGGATAATTTACACTCATCATCCTTCAAGTATACTTGAACATATTTTAAAGTTTACTTGTTAATATTTTTTTGGATAATTTACACTCATCATCCTTCAAGCTCAGAAAATATACATTAAGTTCCACAACCTTTTTAGCGAGGTTAAAAGTCAAGACTCATATAGATGGTGTCTAGATGACGAGATAAATAAGGGTAAAGTATATATTTTAATATTAAAAAAAAAAATTGGAGATATACTTTTTTTTTTTCATATAACTATCAAATGACTTGTGAAAATGGAATACGGTTAAAAGTAACTTTTTGATTTTTTTTTTTTTTTTTTTGTCACATTTCTTCTCTATTTTTTTTTACACATTTTTTAAAAAATAAACCAAAACATTAGCTTTTAACCTACTTCCAAAAAACCTGAGCACATTTTAAAATTCGTTAATCTATTTGATTGTATTTTATTTTTTAATAAATAAATTAAACTTGAACAACTAATTAATTAGCCTAGCAACCAGAGTATGCAATGACTTACTGGGTGCCATGATTCATCATTCTCAACATGTCCATGGTTCTGATGATGAGTTCTATGGCTAATCCTCCTGCAATTTTTCATCACAATTGTCAATGATTGCGTTATAATTCAAAAAACAGAAAAACAGAATTTTGGGGTTGAACAGAGGTTTCAGAAACAAACCATCCATGGTAAGGGACAAGTATTGAAGAATGAAGAAGATGACCCACCACACTATTCAACTTATGATTATTAGAAAAACTTCCATGACCACTGCACAATCAAAAAAACCAAACATAATTAGCATCAAAATCCAACAAATGGGTATCAAAAATTGAACAAGAAAATTAAGAAATTGATTGATTACCAATCATGACCAAGAACAAACAGAGCCCAGAACATGGTCCCCTGAGCAAACCAATACAGAGGCCAAACAGCCCAGTTGTTGAAATGAGCCGCCATAGCAGCCAATCCAAAAACCACCACAACATCTCTCAGAACATAGCTTATTGATCTCCATGTATTCTTAACCCAGCAATGTTTCGGAATCGCAGCTCGAATATCGGCTAGCCGGAACGGAGGCGCCGCGCCTGGGTTGAATTCGCCTTCTTCTTCGACCCCATTGACGACATTGATTTTCTTTGTTTCTCTCTCTTCTTCTTCAATAGATTGGACTTTTAGGGGGGTACTGACCTTGATTTTCCAGTTTCTCTCTCTAGACCCAGATGATGATACCCAGAACGAAGAAGAACAAACTGGGTCGGATTGAATTAGTTTGATCTTTGAAGGGTTGGCATTGAGAGAGGTTAGACCTGTTCTGGGTTTAGGGTAGATTCGTGGGAGGGGTCTTAGGCCACATTCTGATAAAACCCAACTCGCCATTAGAGACCCAGAGAGAGAGAGAGAAAGACGATTCAAGAATTTCGGATTCTGGGTCTCTCTCTCTCTAGACGAATTGAAGCCTACACACAATCAATCAATATATATATATATATATAGAGAGAGAGAGAGAGAGAGAGAGAGAGAGAAGAGGATGAGGAGATAACACGAGGGCTTCTCTCCTCCACTTGCAGAGATACAAAAATCTCAACTTGGTGTTTGTTGTTGGTTGTCTTCTCTCTCACAATATATATATCTCAATTTCTCTCTCTTCTTTTCTGGGTCTGTATTGTATGTATGATCTGAAATGCTGGCTCTATATATATGCATAGCTCTGTTGTGGTAATGGATCTCACTTTCTTCTGTCCTTCCCCTGTTTAAAATGAACAAAAATTGCAACGTTTTTTTTGTGCCACCACCATATACATACGTATATGAGAAATTCTACTCTACACGTCTTTGAAAGGATATGCATTCCATTCCATTCCATTTATGTTTTTTTTTTAATTATGATTAATTTTTTTAATTATAATTAATTTTTTATTAATTATGACTTATGAGATCTTTAGTTATATTTTATGTAATATTTAGTTATAAATTTTTTTTTTAAAATTAAGATTCAAAAAATATAAAATTATATTGCTTGGTTCTATTTTTCCAAAAATATTTTTCAGAAAATTCTACTTTCTTATTTTTTGTATTTTTTTTATTTTTACTGAATTTTTTTAGTATTTTTAGCATTTTTTTTTATTTTTTAGACATACCTAACATAAATATACCTAAAAAGTAAAAAAATTGTGAAAAATATCTTTAAAAATTCACTTAATACCAAAAATACAAAAAAAATACTAGAATTTAGTACATTTTTTATATTTTAATATATTTATTAATTTTTTAAAATATTTTTTTTACAAATTTTTTCTATTTAGATACATCTAAGTAAGGTGTATCTAAATAAGTAAAAAAAATATTTAAAATTTTAAAAATATTCACTAAAAATAAAAAAATATAAAAATTAAAAAATTTAATTTTTAAAAAATTTAAGCACATTGATGGTCTTTCCCTTTATGTATTACATGAGTAATATGTGGGACCCACACTATTATTATTTTTTTAATTATAAATTACAAATGGTACACATTGATGGTCTTCCCCTTTATGTATTATAATATGTGAGACCCACACTGATTATTATTTTTTTAATTATAAAATTACAAAGGGTGCACATTGATGGTCTTTCCCTTTATGTATTACATGAGTAATATGTGGGATCCACAATATTATTATTTTTTTAATTATAAATTACAAATGGTACACATTGATGGTCTTCCCTTTATGTATTACTAGTCTATCACTCGTGTAATGCACAGAATAATTATAAATATTTATATTTATTATTAATTTTTTTTAATATATAAATTATGTTTTTAAATATTTTTTATAAAAATAATTTAACAATCATATCATTAACCATAGTATATATGAGAAATTAAAAAGGCTACTGCAGTAACTATGCACGAGCTGTATCTATAATTATTTGTATGAGAAGATTTTAAATACTGATAAGGGATTTTGATCAAATCAATAAATGCAGATATGTGGAAATACGTGTAGATTGAAAAAAATTAATAAATGTTGATCAGGAAATTTTGACCAAATCAATAAATGTTGAGTTTTTTTTTTAAATAAATTTTTTTTAAGAAGACTACTGCAGTAACTATGCACGGGTTGTATCTATAACTATTTGTATGAGGGGATTTTAAATATTGATTAGGGATTTTGATCAAATCAATAAATGCAAACATGTAGAAAGACATATAGATTGAAAAAAATTAATAAATGCTGATCAATAAATTTTGACCAAATCAATAAATGCTGAGTTTTTTTTAAAAAATAAAAAATTTAGAAAATTAAGGTTGGGAGATTGGAGCTCCTATAAGGCCTGGGATTTAGAAACCCCATTTTCCTTAATATAATACTAGCCTATCACTCGTGCTATGCACAGGATAATTATATATATTTATATTTGTTTTAGATTTTTTTAATATATAAATTATGTTTTTTAAGATTTTTTATAAAAATAATTTAACAATCATATCACTAACCATAGTGTATGGGAGAAGTTGAAAAGGGTACTGCAGTAACTATACACGGATTGTATCTATAATTATTTGTATGAGGGTATTTTAAATGCTGATTAGAGAATTTTGACCAAATCAATAAATGCAGGCATGTGGAAAGATATGTAGATTGAAAAAAGTTAATAAATGTTGAACAGGGGATTTCGACCAAATTAATAAATGCCGAGTTTTTTTTTTTTTAATAAGAAATTTAGAAAATTCAGATTGGGATATTGAAACTCCCACAAACCTTGGGGTTGAAAACCCCCTTTTGCTTTATATATAGTATAGACTAACATATCACCCGTGCTATGAACGAATTGTGTTTACAATTATCTATATATGTGAATTGTGATTTTTAAATGTCTTCTTTTTTTTCTTTTTTTTTTAATGCCTTATTTTTTTCCTTTTTTATATTATATTAAACTTTAATATTTTGATAATAATCATATGTGTTAGACTTTTTAAGAAATTAAATGTCTTTTTTTTTATTATATTGTATTAAAGTTTAATATTTTGATAATAATCATATGTGTTGAACTTTTTAAGAAATTTTTTTTATGCTTGTTCTTAATGCATTAAAGTGTTATTATGAGGGATAATAATATATGTGTTGGGACTTTTCAATGAATTGAATTTTAAAGATTTTTTTTATGCTTGTTTTTAATGCATTAAAGTGTTATTACGAGGATAAGACTTGGGGGTTGGGAGAAGTTAATAAATGCTATAAGTTTTTTTTTTAAATCAAAAAATCAAGAAATTTAGATTAAGAGATTGGAGCTCCCACAAGACTTGGAGTTAAAAATCCCCTTTTACTTAATATATAGTACTAGCCTATCACCCATGCTATGCACGGGATAATTATAGATATTTATATTTTTTTTAATTTTTTTTAATATATAAATTATATTTTTTAAGATTTTTTATAAAAATAATTTAACAATCTTATCACTAACCATAGTGTATAGGAGAAATTAAAAAGGCTATTGCAGTAACTATGCACGGGCTGTAACTATGGTAGGAGAGAGAAAAAAACAAACAAACAAACAAACAAACAAACAAACAAAAACAAATCGTAAGCAAAATTGTGATAAAAATAGTAAAAATTTAATTAATTTATTTTTATTAATTGATAAATGCTGAGTTTTTTTTTTTAAATCAAAAATTTAGAAAATTAAGATTGAGATATTGGAACTCCCACGAGCCTTGGAGTTTAGAAACCCCATTTTCCTCAATATATTTACAATTATCTATATACGTGAATTGTGATTTTTAAATGTTTTTTTTTTTTTTAAATGTCTTCTTTTTTTCCTTTTTTATATTATATTAAAGTTTAATATTTTGATAATAATCATATGTGTTGGACTTTTCAAGAATTTTTTTTTTTTAATGTTTGTTCTTAATGCATTAAAGTGTTATTATAAGGGATAATAATTATATGTGTTGGGACTTTTCAAGGAATTCATATGTGTTGGATTTCAAAGAATTTTTTTCATGCTTGTACTTAATGCATTAAAGTATTATTATGAGGAGTAAGGACTTTTGGGGGTTTGGAGAAGTTAATAAATGCTAAGATTTTTTTTTTTTTTAAAAAATCAAAAAACCAAAAAATTTAGATTGGGAGATTGGAGCTCCTACACCTTGGGGTTAAAAACCCCCTTTTGCTTAATATATAGTATAGATAAGTCAAAAAGTCATGTGGGTTGAGAGAAGTTAATAAATGCTGAGGTTAATTTTTTTTTTTTTAAAAAAAAAATTAAAAATTAGGATTGGCATATTAAAGCTCCCACAGGCCTTGGGGGTTAAAAACCCCTTTTGCTCAATATATACTAACTTATTACCCGTGCTATGCACGGGATAATTATAGAGATTTATATTTGTTTTAATTTTTTTAATATATAAATTATGTTTTTTAAGATTTTTTATAAAAAATAATTTAACAATCTTATCACTAACCATAGTGTACAGGAGAAATTAAAAAAACTACTGAAGTAATTATGCACGAGCGTTATCTATAATTATTTGTATGAAGGGATTTTAAATGCTAATCAGAGATTTTGACCAAATCAATAAATACAGGCATATGGATTGAAAAAAGTTAATAAATGCTGATCAGGAAATTTTGACCAAATCAATAAATGCTGAGGGTTTTTTTTAAATAAAAAATTTAGAAAATTAAGATTGAAAAATCGGAGCTCCCACAAGGCTTGGGTTTAGAAACCCTATTTTTCTTAATATATTTACAATCTATACTATATTACAAAAGGGGGTTTTTAACCCCAAGGCCTGTGGGAGCTCCAATCTCCTAATCCTAATTTTCTAATTTTTTGATTTAAAAAAAAAAACCTCAGCATTTATTGACTTCTCCCAACTCAACCTCACCATTTATTGACTTCTTTCAACCCACAATCCCTTTTGACTTATCTCATAATTATTGCAACACCCTTTTCAATTTCTCTCGTACACTATGGTTACACACAAAAATAAAAAATAAAAGATAAGAATTTAGCTATAGATCTCAAAAAGATATAGCATCTAAATTTGAATTATGATTTAATAATATAATTATGTATTTTTTTATGTATATCTATCAATATTTTAAATCACTTAATGGGACAAATTAATCAATTTTCAAAAATTATTGATTTTTAATTTACAAAATAAATTATGATTTAATCATATAATTATGTATTTTTTTATGTATATCTATCAAAATTTTAAATCACTTAATGAGATAAATTAATCAATTTTTTAAAATTGATTTTTAATTTACAAAATAGATTAAAAAAAACTATTGACTGATTTATTTATTTAATGGGTTTTTAACTCCAAGACCTGTGGGAGCTCCAATCTCCTAATCCTAATTTTTTAATTTTTTGATTTTAAAAAAAAAAATCTCAGCATTTATTGATTTCTCCCAACCCACAATCTCTTTTGACTTCTCTCATAATTATTGCAACACTCTTTTCAATTTCTCCCATACACTATGGTTACACACAAAAATAAAAAAATATATATAAGAATTTAGCTATAGATCTCAAAAAGATATAAATTTGAATTATGATTTAATAATATAATTATGTATTTTTTTATGTATATCTATCAAAATTTTAAATCACTTAATGAGATAAATTAATCAATTTTTCAAAATTATTGATTTTTAATTTACGAAATAGATT